ATCTGAAAATGAAATTAAGAAAACCATTTTATTTAAAATGGCATCAAAAACACTTAGGAATACATTTAACAAAAAGTATAAAACTTGTACATAGAAAAATTACAAAATGTCACTGACAAAAATTTAAGAAGACCTGAATATGTGGGAAAACATCCATTCCATGTTCATGGATTGGAAGACTTAATATTGTTAAGATGTTGATACTCTCCCAAATTTTGTACACATTTAACACAGTTCCTATCAAAATTCTAGCTTGATTATTTCAAAAATTGCCAAGGTGATCCTAAAATTAATATGAAACCACAAAGGACCAGGATAGCTAAAACAATCCAGAAAAAAGGAATAAAGTTGTAGCGCTCACTTCAAAGTGGAGTAATTCTAAAACTCACTTCAAAGCTACAGTAATCAAGATCTGTGGTAGAGACATAGGTTAGAAATAGAAATAAATGAAATAGAATTGAGAGTTCAGAAATAAACTTTCACATTTTATGGTCAATTTCCTATGAAGAAAGCCTAGTCTTTTAAACATACGGTGCTGGAACAACTGAATATTTACATGCAAAAGAAAGAAGTTAGATCCCTATTTTCCACAATATACAAAAAATAATTCAAATTAGGTTAAAGATCTAAGTGTAAATGCTAAAACTATAAAAGTCTTAGAAGAAAATTTAGGTGTACATCTTCATGCCTTTAGGTTAGACAATGGTTTCTTAGATATGACAGCAAAAGTCCAAGGAACAAAAGAAAAAACAGATAAATTATACTTAATCAAAATTAAAATATTTTGTGCTTTAGATGACATGTCAAGAAATTGAAAAAAATCCATAGAATAAGATAAAATATTTGCAAATCACATATCTGATAATGAACACATATCCGATAATGAACACATATCCAGGTATATATATCTTACAACTCAACAGTAAAGGACCAATAACCCAATTGAAAAATGGGCAAAGGATTTAAATAGACATTTCACCAAAGAAGATATGCAAATGGCCAATAAGTACATACAAAGATGCTCTACCTTGTTAGCCATCAGGGAAATGTAAATCAAAAACACAATGAGATGCTACTTCACACCTACTAAGCTAGCTATAATTAAAATGACAAATGTTAGTGAGGATGTGGAGAGACTGGCACCCTGATACTTGCTGGTGGTAATGTAAAATGGTACAGTACCTTGGAAAACAGTTTGCAGTTTTTTCAAAGGGTTCAATGTAGGGCTACCATATTATCCAGCAGTTCTATACCTAGGTATATGCCCAACGTAACTGAAAACATGTGTACACAAAACTTGTACACAAATGTTCATAGCAACATTATTCATAAGAGCCAACAAGTGGAAACAATTCAAACACACATACTGGATAAACAATATGTTGTATATCCATACAATGGGATGTTATTTAATCATAAAAGGAATGGAAAAGGAATAAAGTACTGATATATGCTATATCATGCATTAAACTTGAAAATATTATGCTAAACAAAAAAAGCCAGTCACAGAAGGCCACCTACTGTATTATTTAATTTATATGAAATTTTCAGAAGGGATAAAACCATAAAGACAGAAAATAAATTAGAATTTGCCAGGGACTTGTTTGTGGTGGGGAAAGGGGATGAGTGATAATGGGTATGGGATTTCTTTTTGGGGTAATGAAAATGTTCTGAAATTAGATAGTGGTGAGGGTTACACAAATCTGTGAGTATACTAACAACTACTGAATCATTCTCTTTGAAATGATGAATTTTATGGTATGGGAATTACATTTCAAAAAAAAAAGACCTTCAGGACAGTTCAACTTTACACAGAGAAAGCTGTGTGATTTTACATGTCTCATGATACATCCTCATTCTATATAAATGCCCTCAATGGTTCAAAGTACATTTATAGATTTTTTCTTGTTCTCATACCCTACATCACTTAGTACAGTGCCTTGTAAAATGTATGATCTTATAAATCATTTTAGGTGTGAAATGTATGCATTATATGTATTAAATGCTTTTTAATCTCCTTGAGTCCCCTAATAAAAAACATCACTCAACCCTCATGTTTTATTTTTCTCCACTTGTCCGTATATTCCCTGAGGCTAAGAATCATGGTAGATTTATCCCCATATTCTTTGCACACTCAAACCTCACTTTTATTCCCACCTTGTACATAGTACAGTGTCTGATACAAAGATACTGCTTATAATTCTTTTAAAACTCCTTTTATTTCCCCCTCCCCAAATTGAACCTAATCTTGTGGACCAATACTGTGTTTCATTCACATTTGTATTCTCTACCACCCTCTTGTGTAGCCCTATTCTTTTACATGCAAGTTCTTTTTTTTTTAGATTTTATTTATTTATTTATTTATTTATT